TGTCTTATTCAGTTGAAATCCATGGATCTTTGTTCAATGAGTTTGGTGCAAAATGGATTTAACAACAGGAGGAGATGGACAGGAAGCTCCTGTCCATGTCACAGTGTCCAAAACAACCTTCAGATTTCCCATTCACCACAGGCTGCCCACAGGCCTGGCTTTAAAATAATAAATATTCCAATCCCCTGAATGAAGGAATGAAGGAAAATTTAGAGGAGCTAGAAAAACATCTCTAAAAATTAGGTGATAATGCCATCAAGCCAAAAACCTGCCTCTATCTGGGGAGGAAAAATTAAGAAATATCAGTGCCAAAACTCTCAGAGGTGACTTGGGTAGCAGACAGGAGCACTGGGATGGGCCCAGGGGTGCTGGGGGCCATGGAGGTTACTGGGAATTTGCCTCCTGAGCAACTGGAGCTGTGCTGGTGGGGAAGGGGGGAGATGTGTCTGGGAAACCTCAGCAAAGCCCACCCTGCTGCCCCTCATGGCTTGCACTGCTCCAGGAGACTCGAGTCCAGCACTTGGCACCTGAGTGGGGAGAGAGTTTCCTGTCTGGAGACACCAAATTGTGTCTCATGGGTGGCCAAAGTGCAGCTTCTTTGTCTGTGCGAAGGTCAAAAGCGCTGAAGCATCAGACCTGCAGTCACACCAAAGCAGGAGAAGTGAATTGGAGTATAAAAAACTGGCTGATGTCAGGCAAGGCCATGAAAATCTCACCCCTATTTATTTCTGCTCCCTTACTCCCCAGATATTTGTGTGTTGCCAGCACAGGTCGTTATCTGACTGGGGTTTTTTTTTAAAGTTTCCTCCCAGAAATGCCCACGAGATTTGAAGTTAGCCTGGAAATCTTTCAAAGGACCCCAAAGATAACTGTGCTGGGTCTTCTATTTCATTTCCATTTTATGGCATCTTTTTATATTCTGCAATAGCCTTTTCTGAATAAAAATGAGACAGCCTCTTAAGAGGCCTTTTTATTATTTGCATTTGGCAAAAACAGCCTTAATGAGCTGTTAAGAGTCATTCCCCAGTCCTATTGTTGGCGATGCATGGGAGCCTGTAAAGTGCTGAAAAGCCAAAAGACAATTTATGATCCCTGATGCTATCCCTTCCTGAGACAATCCCACAGAAAGGAAGATATCTGGGGAGTAGGAAGTCCCATTATTTAAATGCCTGAGTAACTTTTACTGGAGTCATAACTGTGGAATTTGCTATTTTCATTTCAGAGCTGCTGTGTTCCCTGGAGAGGAGCAGTGAACAGGGGATGGGTGAACAGGGGAGAATTCCCCATCCATTCCCAGCTTGGAATAAACAGCACCAAATTCCAAACAGGCACCAGTGGCTTTCCCAAAATCCCATTTTTGTGGCAGCAGTTCTGAGCTCAGCACACGGGATGGGGAGGGCAAAGGAACCCGAATTTCCTCAGGTTCAACCAGGGTTACTGAGCACCACAAAATAACCACCCGAAGGGTTTCTCCGGGCTGTGCACACAGGATGGGATGCTCTGGGCATTGCTGGCCCTCGGAAGGGAGCAGGCAGTAAATGTGGGAGGTGCTGGCAGTGGCTGGGGGTGCTGAGGGACAATCACAGCTTTGTGACAAAGGCAGAGACCTTGGGGTTAGCACTGACACCCGGACGGCTCAAGAGAACAGCAAATATTGCAGCATGGTCTGGTCCCTTCTGTAAATGACAAATGTTCGTGTTTAGCAGGCTCAGGGGTAGAGATGAGCTCAGGAATTCCCTCATTGCAGGTTTGTCCCTGGCACGGGAATTAAGGGCTGGGCAGAGATGAACCAGCGAGGCCTTGCACCAGCAGGGTTGCTCCTGTTCTGGGAGCTGGAATCACTTCCACTCCAAAGAAAAACAAGGGAAGTAATTAAAATAATGAAGGATTTAAAAGTGTCTCTTAAGATGTTATTTTTTATATGGGAGATCTTCTCCTCCACTGAGACATTCCCCATTCCTGGCCAGATAATCCCAGCACAGCCCAGGTGTGCAATGAGCATCCTGCACCAGGCACTTTAAGAGGAGGGAAAAGTCCTTCAATTGCTTTCCTAAAGCACCTGGGGAAAGTGGTTGTGGTGATTAACCCAAATAAATAAAAATGCCAATAACCCAGCAAAGAAGTGGCTCCAAATGCTGCAAGTGTCTCTGATGAGAAACTCCCTGCTAGGATCCATAAATCCAGGATACCTCTGTGACACCCCCAGGTGCTGAGTGAGTTAAAAAAGAGAGCAGAAGAAGCCAAAAGAGGGTTTGTGGCCAGCTCCCACCCCTGGCCTGAGCAGGAGGGGGCTCCTTGCCTGGCATTGACAGAGGGAGCACGAATGGAAGGTTTGGTGAATTTGGGGTGCACAGAGGGATTCATCCCTTCCCTTCCCTTGGTCCTTTGAGGGTGCTGGGAATCTCCAGGGGGGATGGAGGGAGCAGTCCCTGATTTTGGGCACCACTCTGCTGCAAACAGACCTGGGCAGCAAGAATTCAAGCCACTGTTAGACTTGGCTTTTCAGCTGCTTTCAAAGGGCACTCCATGAGCTTTATTTGGATTGAAATGTACAATTTACAACCTATTCTTTACTGAATAATCAAAAGTGTAACATGATTATATTTCTATTTTTGTTACATGTAGTAGTCAGTTATGTTCTGCTGTAACAGAATAGCGCTCAGAACTAAAGAACTCAGTCTCACCTAAAATACCAGCACAGGTTTTACTTTCTAGCTCTGTTTGCCAGGAAGTTTGATAAAGGATCTTAACCTGCAGTGATTTTTCCACTGATCTATAATTTTTTCAGGCACAATCGAATTTTGAATTCCCCTGAAGTGCCAGGCTGTGACTCTGACCTCCCATCCCAAAACGAGCTGACTTCAGATCCTCCCTTCTCGCACTAACACAGAGCTGCTGTATCATCTTTCCTTGCGGTGGGAACTCAGCCTTGCTGCTGGGCTTTGTGTGGATGCAATCATCAGCAATAATCCATGTGCCCAGCACTGTCCCAGCTCCTTGCAGCTCCCAGCCTGGCAGGGAACGCTGCCCTGAAGGGTGGCAATAAAGGGATGCAAGCCCACAGCAGCTGCATTCTTGGCTCTTCACTTGGCTGCTGGTTCTTTACAATGTTCTTTCCTTGGGGAACTTTATTTGCATGAAAACACGGCACAATAATTTGAGGACTGCTCACCCTGGTGATGTGCAGAGAGACAAAGCAGCTGAACGCTGAACTAAGCAATCACTTACATTTAATTTATTTTTTTATTTTTCCTGAAATCACACCTCTTTCTTTCCTCTGCTGTGACTTACAAAAGTGACTTACAGTGGGTTATGCAGTCAAACGAGGAGCTCAGAGCTGCTGAAAGAAAAGGATTTTTCTGCTGTTAACTCGGGGAACAAAGCTCCCCAATAAATGTGGTGTTGTGCCGCGCACCGAGCGCTTTTGTGGCACAAATCCCACTGCTCCCAGCAGCGCTCTGCAATGCTTCACTCCGTGACCTCACAAAAATAATTGCTGAGAAGCAAATTTGCTCAGCCCTGTGCCTTTATTGGCTGGGAGAATGGTGCTCACTGGGGATGGAGAAGGGAGAGCAGAGCTCTGCAGACGGGCCCGTGCCCGGAGGAGCCCAGGGCAGAGAGCCACATCCCCACCTGCACCTGCTGGGGGATGCTGCTCACCCCAAAAAACTCCAGAACCGCGATTTCAATCCCTGCTGCTGCACAGGAAACACTGAGCCACCTTCCCAGCCTTCTTCTCAAGCTAAAATTTCAGCTTGAGCTGCCAGCTTTGCCTAATTGTTATCCCCCAGCTGAGAGCTGGAATGATTTCTGAGCAGCTTTACGAGGGAATGGATCAGCCTGGTTCTCCCTTCTCGGAATAAATCTGTATAAAATGTCCTGTTTGGAACTTTGGGGGTTCTTGGCATCACCTGGGGTCCAGCCTGAGCTCTGCCTCCAGCCTGGCCCAGCAGAGCATCCCAGTGCCCACCCCAGGCCTGGCAGCCCCTCGGGACAGAGACAGAGGACACCCCATATTTATATTTATATTTATATTTATATTTATATTTATATTTATATTTATATTTATATTTATATTTATATTTATATTTATATTTATATTTATATTTATATTTAATTATACTTATACTTATATTTATACTTATATTTATACTTATATTTATATTTACATTTATTTATCACTTTATCACTATATTTATAACTATATTTATAACTATATAACTATATTTATAACGATATTTATAATGATATTTATATCACAGTACAATATATAATATTATCACATATATAATGATATTCGTTATCACGTATAATGATATTTATAATTCTATTTCTAGCGGTATTTATGTTTATTTAGATAGATATGCAAATTCGGTTTGAAGGGAGGTGAGAGAGGGAGCAGAAGCGTGGTGCTTGATGTGCATGTGATAAACCGGAGCACAAAAGCCGCTTAGGACCAGCCCGCGGAGATTAGCTAACAAGAAGCGAGCCATTCTTTTCAGGAGGCGTTATTAGCATATTTTTCATCAGTACTATACTTAACAGCTACTACATAGCAGGAAGTGGTATTTAACCTCTTGTTCCAACGTAACGAGATTACTTTGGGTGGTTATGTTACATTCCATTCATAAAGAGCCTCCTGTGCCCAGTTAATTAGATTCACTGGTCCAGCATGAACTGGGAGCCAATGTGCCAAAATGGATTCGGAATATTGACATTTTAAGCTGGGTTTGTCTTTAAGGCTGCGATGTAAAACTCGCTGCTGACAGACAAGGGGTGTCATTAGAAAATTGTTCCAGCTCCTGATGGACTTGGGGTTAACTGAAATAACCATTGCTGAAATGGCCAAAGTTTAAAGGAAAGCTCGTTCTAAAAGTTAAAGTTCTTGGAAACAGATGAGCATCACCCGAGTTTTGAGGCACAGCCAGGTGAAACCACCTTTGCCTTTATTTGGATGTAAAACACGGAGCCATAGGGGACTCTGCTGCCACAAAACTTCTGGTTTTCACTGAACTCAGTGAATTGGAAAATAACAGAAGTTAAGTTTGGAAAAAAATATAAAGCAAGTGAGTCTTTTGGGATATTGTATTTCTATTTTAAACAATTCCCTGCTCCTAAGAGTTTCCCTTTTCAATTTTTTTTTCCTAAATAGTTTGTGGGTTGCAAGATGGGTACCAGGAATGTTTTTGTTGTTTGAAGGATGCAGCATTAATTAATAAAAAATAACCTGAAAGAAAAAACCATCTTGTTACAGCTGAATTTAATTTAGCAGAGAGTTACAGCAGCATCTCCCTCTTGTAGAAATTGGTTTGTCCTTCCACAAAAAATCATCCAAAATAATTAAAGGAGCCTCCTTTTCCACCTTCTGGAAAACCAGGGGTTTACCTCTGCATAAAAGAAAGGAATAAATGAAGAAACTCATTCAATTTGGCCATTTAGCTTAACAGTGCAGCTGTTTTGCTGTTTGGCTGCAGTGTTGCAGCAGATTTCATGCAGCAGCACAAAATAGACTTTGGATTTTTTTTCCCCCCTTCCACCCACCATCCCAAGACTCACCAGCACAGCCCTGACCCTCTGCATTGTTTTTAAGCCAAAGAAAAAATCTCCAAGTGAACAGTGACGATGAGTTTTCATTGCCTGAGATTAAAATTAATAAATTAGGAAAAATTCAGGATGGGATTTTTTTCCCTCCTCTATGCTGCTGCTGCTTCAGAGAAAGTCTTAAAATCCTTTTGTTTGTGCATCTTCAGGCTGCAAAGTTAATTTAAAGGGGCGCTGCCAAGGTTAGCAAGCTCAGAATTTGATTTGACTGGCTGTGCATGTTCCCTAATTGCAGTCTGCACATTCTACATCTTTCTATCCTGTCGAGGGAAAAAACCAAAATTCCTCCAGGGAAATACATCAAAGCTGCAGGTCTGACTTCATGGGCAATCCTGCAAAATCTGCCCAGCACTTGTACAGAGGAGAGGAATGAAAATGTGATTTTTGAATGAAAACTAACTTCCTTTATAAGGTTCCCAAAGGAATGAGTTCAGTTAAAAAGGAAAAGGGTGATGGAGGAGGAGGAGGGCTCTGTAGGTGCTGAGAACTGTGAGCACAACTGAAATGTGAAAACCAACAGAACAAGTGTTTGTCACTGGCTTAGGGGACACTTCCTATTCAAATAATTTCTGAATAGCAGCCTCAAAGTCATGTTTTTCATTTTGCTCAGGAGACATCACAGACTGACTCATGGCTTATAGTCAAATCCCATGGAATTATTCCTGCAAAACAGAACGTGGAGCACCTGAGCTGGATTCTGTGTTCCCAACAGCTCCTGGTGGATTTTCCTTGGCTCCAGCAGATCCATTCCCTTTCTCCTGGAGTGTGCTCAGGTGAGCTGGGTTCTGGTGGGAGCTGTCCAGCAAGGGCTGCATGGAGCTGCTTCTGCAGCACCAGCAGCACATCCAGGGATGCTCAGGAAGCCCCCAGGCCCTGCTTTGCTGGTTTGCATTTGGGAAAATCCTAGAAAAATTTGGGACTGGGAGTTTTCATCTTCTGGGAATTGTGCAGAGCCACAGCAGCTGCTGCAGGGAAGGGAGGGATGAGTCTCTGGAGGAGCACAAAACTCATCCAGAGCCACGTCCCTGGTCCCTGCAGCCCCTGGTGCCCAGCCCTGGCTGCACAGGGGGGTCTGTCCCACCCAGAGAGGGGTCACCTGCACAGGGGGGTCTGTCCCACCCAGAGAGGGGTCACCTGCACAGGGGGGTCTGTCCCTCCCTCCCAGGGGTCACCTGCACAGGGGGGTCTGTCCCTCCCTGCCAGAGAAGGCTCACTGATCATCCCAGTTTGCCTTGCTGTAAATCTGTGTGACCACACCTGCTGGTGAGATGAGCACCTGAAGAAGCCTCTCCATCTATTTCAGGATTTCTCAAGCCTCTCTTTCCTCCAGAAGCTGTCCCAGGCTCCTTCCATCCCACCTCCCAGTCTAAGCCAGCCCAAGAGCAAACCACATCTGCTCCAGTGTAAAAAGGAGGGATAACCACATAGGAGGGATCTGTCATTTAGCAAAGGATGAACTCATGTACCAATTTAAATCATTTAAATGCACTCATTCTCCTGGGGTTACTGAAATGTTGAGAGTTGGGTACAAGCACAAGCAGTTTGTTGAATCAGGACCTGAAATGGCACCTTCTGCTCATATAAATTACACTTCAAAGCTCAGTTTGAAGCATCACGGTAAAATAAATCCTTATCTTAGTGCTAGTAAAAACCAGTGTTATTGGTACCTTTCCTGTAGCAATTCATGGAAAGAGAAATGCTGAACAATTGCAGCTGACCTTGCTTCTTGATCAACCTGATAATTAATAGGAATAGAGAAAAAGCCCTGTATTTCTGAGTGCTGATCAGGCAGCAAAGGCACTCCAAACATCTGAAGAAAAAACAGTTTGTTAATTGCTGTCTAGACAGTTTATTGCTGCAATAAGATCAAAACACAGAATACTGAGGTTTGTGGTATGAATCATGCAGACTAAACAATTGTTTTATTGCATTTACAGAGCACTTGATTTATAATGCAGTCAGCTCGGTAATAAAATTCCTCCGTTGTATATCCTGAATAATTTCACCTCGTTTCACATCTCCCTGGTTGAATTCTATATCGAGATGTTTTAAAATTGTCTGGATGGAGAGGGGATTAGTGCCATGTGTATATAAAGTCACTTATCTGGGGTCTCTGCTGCATCATGCAGCGTTCATCCAGCACTCCCTGCCTCAGCTGGGGGACTGGGGACACCCCAGGAGCAGATTTATGGGGCTGCAGCCTCGGTGAGGGCACTGCAGGGACAGCCAGGCTGGCCCATGGCAGGAGGTTTCATCCCACTCCACCTTCCCAAAGGGATCAAGCAGGCAAGTGGCTTCTCCCCTTTTTGTTTTAACTTTATTACTCTACAAAACTTGACTAAGAAGGAAGATTTATCTGTCTGCTTCTGTGGGCATCTCTGGGGGTGAAAGGGAGCTTTTTTTGGAAACCAAGAAACTTTTGGGACGATGGGAATTCCTCTTTATTAAGCACTGATCAGTCCTGGCTCTCTAAAATCTCCCAGGATTACTTTGCTTTTCTGCTTTTAATTCCTCCTTGCTGCAGTGGCTCCGTTCCAGGGCAGCTGTGACCCTCCAGCCCGCTCCTTGGGCAGAGCTGCCCCTCCTGAGCATCCCTGGCACACCAAGAGCAGGACTGGGAGGGGAGGGCTGTCCCTGGGAAGGGCAGAGCAGGAATTAAGGCTGGACTCTGGCTGCAGTGTCCTTGTGGCTGATGCTGCAGCTGGCAGCTCCTGGAGAGCAGCAGTGCCAGGGCAGGGAGCTGCTGCACTTCTCAAACAGACCCAGATGTTCTTGGACACCCAAACTCAGACTCCCAAGCCAGTGAAGAAGAGAAAGACGCTCAGGTAAATCCAATATTCCCCAGAATGCCTCTCCCCAGAGTCTCCTCTGTCTTCTCCAAGTGGCAGAGACACAAATACGAGCAGAGAGCTGTAAAGTGCCTTTTGAAATAACTTCATTTTAGAAAGCAGCAACAATCCTAGCCAAACTCAGACCTTAAAGCCACCATGGCAGGGCAGGGCTCCACAGGCTGCCAGCAGCACAGGTGGATGCCTCGTGGCCAGAGAGATGCTAGAAAGAGAACCTGAGGTGTGAACAGAAATCAGCAATCCAGGAACTGGCTGGTCATTTAGACCTAGAGATTTTCATTAATAGGATTGTAAAGTAAATCCATGACATCCATGTCAATAATGCAGAACTGTTGTTTTGCAGTTTTGAATGTCCAGATAAATTGTTTGGTTACTTTATAACAAAAGTGAGAATCTGTTGCTGCCTGAGAGGACTTGACACTAAATTTGCTGGTAAAAATAGCAGCAAAATGTTCTGTTTAGAGCCCAGCTTCCATGCAGGTGCAGTAAACACCTCTAGAAAGGGTGGTGTGGTTTGGTGTGGCAGGACACTGGCTCTCATTCCAGCTGCCAGAGGTTTTTGGTACAAATTCAGTCGTTTTTCTGCTCAGGATGTGCAGCAGGATGTCAGCCCCAGAGCTGGTGGCACCATCCCTGCTCATGTGGGTGCCCAGGATGCTCCAGAGCCCCCCCAGAGTCCTGGATCAGCTCCTGCTCACCCCTTTAGAAGGGCCAGAAGGCTCTGACAAGAGTCAGAATTTTAGGAGAAAAATAGGAGAATTTGGTTTGCCCCCTTTTCAGCCTAATTTTGATATTCTGCTCCCTGATGGCCTTGAGTTGTTGTTATTATTGTTATTATTGTTATTATTTGTTATTATTATTCCAGAGAGCAGCTTCAGAGTGGGAAGCCAGGCAGGAGGGTGGCACAGCCAATGTGTCCTGTGCTCTGAGGCTGGGGACAGCAGAGCAGGGGAATTTACGGTGGGAGAGGAGAGTGAGGGAAGGATTCTGGCTGGGGAAAGGCTGGCAGCAGCCCCAGGGTGTGCCCTGCAGCAATCCCTGCCCCTCTGGCAGGGCACCCCTGCCCCAGCAGCCCAGCACAGGCTGCCCCAGGGGGCTGGGGGCAATCAGCCCTCTGTGCTCTCTTTTACGTGGCTTTAAACGCTGTGAGAAGCATTTCTGTCGTTTATTGCTTCTCAATAAAGTTTTATCTCATGGAAGTCATGATTTATTTACTCCATCTTGCAGAACAGACATGTGCTCTCTCCCACATCAGCACCCCTTTACCAGATTCATAAAATGTGTTAACAATTCGTTTAAAATTCATACAGGAGGCAGGCGCAGCTCCCTGCCAGGGCAGGGTAAAGCAGCCCTGAGGGGTGGCACACGCTCTCAGGGTGTGCTCTGAGGCTCTCTCAGCACTCCAGTGCTCTCTGTGGCTGCTGCCCTGTCCAGCCAGCCCAACAGCATCTCCACATTTCCCAGTTATCACTGAGCTCCTGCTCATTTTCCTCCTCAGCTCCCAGGAAAACACAGATTGTGAGAGTGGTAAGGTTTAGAGAGTGACTGGTCACGAGTTTATCTGCAGCCTTTCAGTTTCTGCACTCCCTGTTTAACAGGGCTTTCACCTGCCCTGACAAGAGACAGCTTTTGGCTGCTCTGGGTCTGGGTTAGGAGCAGAAAGGTGAGAATCAAAGTGAGGTTTTTTTTGTCCCTCTGTGCCACTGTGGGGAATTCATCTTTGGCTGTAGCTCCTCCAGCAGTGGAAGAGCTGGTTCTGTGTGGAATATCCCTGGTTCTTCCCCCTCCCTGTGGTTTGGGGTTCCTGCACGCTCCCTGCTCACAGCACTGCTGTTCTCACCTTCCAGCACCACGGAACCCTGCTCTGAACCCGAGGCACCAACATCCCAGCCCAGGCTCCCCGCAGCAAGATGCCCCACTCTGAACCTTGGCCAGGCAAAGAAGATTTCTGGGAACGGGACCTCAGGCTTCCTAATCCTCTGCTATCTCACGGTATTTGCATCATTCCCAGCCTAAGGAGATGTGACTGTCTCTGCAGTTTGCTGCTTCCCTTCCACCCCAGTTCCAGCTGGGAAAGACAGTCTGGTGTTCGAGAGTTCCTGGGGAAAAATTATTGGCAATTCTGTGCTGCCCTAAATGGGAGCACTAAAATTTTGGGGTGTGGACAGGTCCCAGGCGTGGGCTGCAGGCACCAAGTGTCCTTCAAAAGAGCACCCAGCTGGGTGTGCATTCCTCACCACGTTGCTACACACAGTTGTGCAATATTTGCCTTATTTGTGCAACGTAATTAATGAAACATGTCTCATTGGCACCAGCATCCCCAGGGACCCTAAAGCAAACGGGGGCCTTTGAAGCCTGAGAGGGTCTTAAAAGCAGAAAATATTTACCACAAGTTTATTAAACCAAGCTTTACTGGTAATAAATTAGCAGCTTGTAGACAGGCCCTTATCTTGAAAAGCTGGCACGGATCTATTGGGAAAATACAGCAGCGATTTTCAGCGCCCACAGCAGCTTCCAGTCTCTCATTCACCAGCTGCTGAGCACTTGGCTACCAAAAGCCCCAAGTTTGGGGGGCAAGATGTCCCTTCCTGAGGCAGCCCCTGTGCAGGAAACAGCCTCGAGCCAGGGGGCTCCCGTCCATGGCAGCTCTCAGAGGTGAACCCATGGAAGATGCCCAGCTTTGTGACCCCTCCTGTGGCTCCTGCTCCTGCTGATCCACGGCTGGAGGCGTCCTAAAGACACTGACCCCGACCTCAGCAGCTGGGCTGGGGGTGGCTGATGATGCCCCTCCATCTGCAGCTCAGGTTGTGTGAGCTCACCGTGCTGTGTGAGAGCCGCAGAGCACTGGGGCTGTTTGTGGGTTTGCACATCCCTCACACCGCCCCATTGTATGGTAAATGATACTGGAGCCTCTCCTGAGCTGCTGAACAAAACCCCATTGTCTGAGGGTGTTGCATCCCCCACCTGCTCTGCCCAGGACCTGCACTTGGAGCATCAGAGTGGAGTGAGTTCACGTGAGAACTGTTTGCTGCTATTTCTGTTTGGGTTTTTAATGGCATTTGTGCAGGTGCACAGCTTTAAAAAGGGCTTTTTTCTCAGTCTACAGAGTCGGTCCAAATTTTAGCTGGAGCAAGAGACATTCACATTCAATCTAAAGCTGGACTTTTAACAGTGATCTCCAAATTTTGTGTTGCATCACTGAGAATTGCTCGGTTTTATTTAATAATGATGGGTTTGAGTATATTTTTTTTCAATATGTTTTATAGGTGGGGGCAGCTTGTGCAGTCCAGCCAGTGCTAAATCAAGCCCAAGGCGGTTGAGGATTTGTGCAGCTATTCATAAGTTCATTTGAGTGCAAATGCTGTCTTAGTTAATAAACAATTATGTTTAATTGCAGAATCAGGCCTTATGTGCCAGGCAGCATAATCCTCATCCTGGTGACTGCTCAAGAGCCCCAAAACCTCTGGATTGTGGCCATGGCTTCACAGCAGCAAGGGCTCAGCGTCTTCTTGCCCCATTACACCTTTCCCAGTCCCCATCCTTTGATTTTTGGGTGTTTTGAGCTGCACCAGCTCCCCAGACTGGGTGACAGAGTTCCCAGCAAGGTGGGCCAGCACAGGCAGGATTTTGGTGCAGGGAGGAGGCAAGGTGGAGGGAATCCTGGATCCCTGGAAAGCACAATTGTGTCCAACCCCACGGTAAGAGGAATCCACAGCCAAGGTTGGTTATGGTGTCAGCTGCAGGCTGTTCCCTCGGGAGAATCCCTTCCCAGCAGGGCTGTGCACAGGGGTTGATACTCTGTCTTCCGAATTCCTGGAGGGCTGAAGCTTATTTGTACATCAAACAAGGCTCAGTTGGAGGCTACCACGCAGAATTGTCCCCCTAACACAACTCAGCTGTGTGTGTATTTCATTGCAAAGAAAATACAGCCATGCCTTGCACCAGGTTCCCTCATCAGAGGCCACGACATCGGTGCTAAGTGCTCATCTGACTTCTCTGTGTTAAGAGGTGCACCAGGCAGGAGTCTGAATAAATGCAAATGTATTCAGAATAATCTGAAATATTTGGAGTTGCAGGCACAGGGGATCTGAGTCAAGCCACTTGGCCTAGTTTCTGTCACCCAAACACTAACCCTCTATAAATCATTAATTTCCAGACTGTTTATTATCCAGGGGAAGTAACAAAACAGGAGTATCACATAACACATCCTAAGAATGCCTTGTTCATTTTAAGAGCAAATAAAACTAAATAGCACCAAGTTGTTACCGATGCGGCCTACGAGGCCGAGCAGAACACAAAAAGGGGCCTTAATCAGACAGAGGCCACAAAATAAACAGGGGCAAAAAGAAGAGGAAAAAAGGCTTTGGACAAGAGTGACCACACGTAGACATCTTCACACAGATATTCTTTGTTTGCTGTCCCAGGGCAATTGGCCGTTCTGTGGTGGGGCTGTTGGAGCAGCGATGGTTTCCACAGCTGCTGCTGCTGCCCTCAGCCTCCTTTCTCACAGGAATCATTTAACACCTCTCCCTGGGCAGAGAGCACAGCAGAGCCTCCCTTACAAACAATATTTATTAATTAATTGCTGTGTCGGAAAAGCAAACTTCTGGCTGTTTGGTGAGCAGGGCCCGTCCCTGATGGGTTTGTCCTGTGCCACAGGAGCTGCCTGGGATGGGGCAGGGATGTTAATTCCCAGCTGAAGATGAGGAGGAGCAGAGGGATGATTATCTGAGCCAGGATTTCTCTCAAGTTCACCTTCCTGAGCAGCTCCAGGGGTGCAGAGCAGAGCACCCAGACCCTGCCCAGGCACAGGGACCCCCCTGGCTCCAAAACGTCACCACAGAGGTGGGAGCAGGAGCAAGAAAATGGGAAAAATGAGGTGGGAATTGTGATTTATTTAGTGGCCTTTCAATGGGTAGTGCTGACAGCTGGGAAATGCAGATCTCCTGGCAGGTCTGCTAATACAGCACAGCCAGGCTCTGAGCTGCCTCAGTCCTGCTGAACCTCCCCAGCCTGACTTTTTGTCAATTTAGCTTAAATGCCTTCCAACTTCCCCTAGTAAAAAGTCCTTTTCTGGGCAATATTTCAGAGTTTATATTGAGCTGGGTGTTCTGCTGGTCACACTTGTCAGGAAGGCATTGTACTTCCAAAAGTGATGTGAGCAAAACCGTAATCCAGGCCTCACACGTTATTTTGCTCCATATGTTATTGATTTTAATCTTTTAAGGTCCCAAAATACTATATATTTACAGTTGCCCTTTAAAGTTATTGTTAGCTACAAAATATTAGAAACATAGTTTCATCTATAAAATGTATAATTAAATTAATCTTTACCATACTTTTTTTTTACCTCACACAGGAAGCATTTTAGTCTGATGAATACCATGGACGTATAATTAGTCCTTTATACCATAAACTAGATTATAACTTACACTGTCCACCCTGGCTCCAAAAATCCTTGCAGATTTTAATTCAATTGCTGCCCTTTATCTGGATGAAAGCATTTGAATTCAATTATTGGTTTGATTATTTAGGGTGGATTTGTGCCTTTGTATGGGTTAGATGTGGTGGCAGTTTTAAACACAGGTTTAGTGAGGTCTCAAATTAGGCACTTGCATCTATATTTAGGCAACTACCAGAGTTTAAATGCTGAACATCTGATTTTTGCAGCTGAGGTTTGCCTAAGCTGGGGTTTAATGGGAGTCAAGGCTGCATGATGAGAGTGAAGGGACGCTAATTCCAAGGTGTGTCTGAATTCCAGTGGGAACTGGGCACCTGAAATGTTCAGACTCTTTTGAAAGCCTCCTTCCATGCCTGACTGTACCCTTCAGTGCCTAAACCCCTTTCAAAACCTGGCAGGACACTTTGGGGAAGTGTTTGTCAGCAAACCCAATACAATCTCCTCATTCTCTGTGATTTGTCCTTTCCATGCCTGGGGGACTTTCAGCACCGAGACACCCCCGGAGGCAGATCTGCCCTTTTGGATTTCAGCTGAAGATGAGTTAGATGTGGTTGCAGATTAAAGACATTTTAGAGGGGGGTTGTGAATGAGCCAGGACCTCCTGGTTTGGGGTGTCCCTCGCAGACAGAGCTGGCTGGGGTTGATCCTGCAGGTCCGTGGGACAGAGCAGAGCCAGGCCATTTATCCTCCTCCTCCAGAGCCAGCCTGTGTTTATAGCAGCTTGTTTAGCTTACTCCTAATGCACATCCTAGGACCCACCTCTCATACACATCCCAAGACATGTTTATGAAAATTCTTTATAAGCAAAATATTTTACTCGCATTGAGCGAGTTCAGATAGAGAACAGCCTCAGCGCCACAGGCTGGTTCAACACCCTCCCTGTGCATCTTTTATTTAAGAATTCAGCCTTCAGCCCACCCACAGCACCACAGCAGGACCAGGAACTGGAACACGTGGCCAGTCCTGTGCTGGTTTCCCTGTGATAAAACACCTCTTGGAGATGCAAAGGTGAGTGGTCAGCTGGAAAGAGCAGCTGGGATTTGCACCCAGGTTTGGATTTAATTCTTTAAATGTGTCTTTAGAGCAGGTAGTACATCCCTCTAGAAAGTGTATTCCTGAGCTGTGATCCTCCTCTGGCAGCTAATTTTGAAATCTGTTCCATCCAATGGGCTCCAATCATTGAGCTGCCTGAGCATCAACACCTGCCTTGATCCTAAAGAGCTCTTGGGCTCTTACAGAGCCCCCTGGCTCTGATTGTGGGTGCTCAGCACTTCTGGAAATCAGGCAAGAGGCTTTTAAAGATTAAACAATAGTCCAACTCCAGCAGGAAATAAAATAATTTTAAATTTGCAGACACATAAAAAGGGGACACGACATTCAAGAGATATTTTATTATATCAGACAGCAACTTCATAGGAAATGCTTTCTCAGGAAGTGATTTATTGAAGTGTGGGACTCATGGCCACCAGACTGGCCATGAGCCTGCTTTGCCCTCCTCCTCATTCATATCTCACTGCAGGAAATGAGTAAATAATTCTAGTAGGTGCACTGGCCATTTTAGCCAGCCCTAAACCCGCCACATCATTTGGTGAGTTGTCCAGGAAACTCAAATTGGTGAACCTAAACCACAACACTTTTAAACTGATAAATATAATGAATCAAAGGCAAATTGGCAAATCTGTGGATCTGCCCACTCAGTTAAACTCAGTCTTGCTGAGGCATCTTTGTAGCTCGAGGAATCTGTCACAGGGAGCCCATCGATCACGGGGACATCAGAATGTTTCACTTTATTCACCATTCCCTCACTTCCTGCCATCTATCTCCCTCAGCATTTCTTTTCCTTATTCTTGATACCTTTTCCAAGCTGTAGCTCCACAATCCATTGACCTGCTGTGATCATCAGACTAAAACCAGAAAGAGACTGGAGCCCAGATTCCCAGCAGGCTGAAATCTGATTTCCTGCCTGTTTTATTCA